AATAATTTTTTATAAGAAATTAAGAAAAATGCTAAGGGCAATTGCTTCCCGAACTCTCTCCCTCTGCTGCTGCCAGCCTGCCACGCCACAGCTAAATTTAACTCGTAACTGGTAACTGGGAAATACAGGTAACTTTCATTTCAATTTTTCAATTTTCAATTTTCATTTTCTCTCTTTTTATTCTGGGAATGACGCCTCAATGTTTTTTATTTCTTTAATTTTTTAAAAACATAAATTAAAGGTATAATTGTTATATCTTTATATTAATTAATATTAAAAAATAAAAATTAATATTTACTTAAATAATTATTTAATTAAAATAATTTATATGTTATTAATAATAAAATTAATAATAATTTTCTATATTTTTAATATAAATTAATATTAAAAATATATAATATATGTATTTTTAAAATACAAATTAAAAAAAATTATTTGTTTTTTTTTTTTGAGAGAGAGAGCCGAATTAATGGTTATTTTAATCCCTATGGTCGCCGACTCCATGGCAGATACCGAAAAGATTACTCTTCCGACGATAACCGGTCTCTTCGTTTATGTCCTATTTCGTGCCTCTTCTCATCTGAAATTCTCTACAACAGAGACACATCCAAGCTTAGGTATCCCACGAAAAAGCAGAGGAGCAAGATTCAATTTTTCTAGTGGTGGGTACATGCCAGAGCTAGCTGGGTTCATTTCCTCACACTTCCGTTAGATATTGGAATGGAAAAAAATATAAAATATATTGTTAGTAAATTCACAATCATGAGATCAACTTGAAATCGAGTCTTAGCACCAAAAAAAAAAAAGCCTTAAATTTCCCTTGGATCATGCTGGCCTGAAATTTCACCATGTTTTAAACCTTTTTGGTTGAATGTCTCTACTAGGGAGAAGCTATGATGATTCAATTACGAAGCCAAAGCTGGACATGAAGGTATAGAGAAGATAAGAGGGCCAGAAGACTGGAATATCAGTGCGAGGCATTGAAAAGGAGAATGGGAGAGAGTGATTGTACGTTCAAGAGAGAAAGTCAAAATGGAAAGGATTGTGGTAGATTTATTTTGGGTATGGCCATTCAATTACCGATGGAGTTAGATCAACACCGATTAGTTAAAACAGTGAAGACACAGAGAGGTAAGGAGAAGAGCAAGATATTCTATAAATTAAAATTTTAATTTAATTAAAATATTAAAAATAAAGTGTACTCTGTTTTAAAGTTGAAAGTCTAAACCGGTTGCCTATCAAAAGTTAAAAGATACAAATGACGTAACAGAGGAAGGGAGAAAGTGTCAAAGAAGAGGGTGGTGGAGTGAGTGCTCCTATTGGTCCTCAAAAATTAATTATATATTTGGAACATTGCTACATCTAAATTTCTGTATAGCTGACATTAAATCCACTTTGATTAGAAGAGAGACTTTT